GTTTCCAGGCAGTAGGTCTGGCTGGCTTTGGTGCCCCCACACTGCCGAGAGGCTGAGAGGACTGGCTGGAGGGCCTTGCACTGGCTCTTGAGTGCTGCTTCCTAGAAGTGTCACTTCTGATCACATGTCATTGACCAGAGCAAGTGTTGTGGCTATGCCTGGCTCTGCGGTGGGGTGTAGCAGGTGCAGTGCGGTGGCACTGAGCATCTAGGAGGAGGAATACTGGTACTGGTGGCCACTGTTGGTGTCTGCCTCTGAGTAGTGAACCTAGGAGTGGGCAGTGCTGTGGAGCCAGGGAGTCCGCTGCTCTGTGCTCAGTGCTGGGCAGGGAAGCTTGGGTGTGGGGCCTCTGAGGCTGGAGACCTAGGAAGGCTGCTCCAGAGAAGCTGACTTGAGGGGGTGGGGGTGTGCTGGGACTGCGGCATTGCCTCTGCACACAGGGGTAAGGGAGGAGGCCCTGTTTCCTATCAGTAACCCCAGGTCCTTGGGAGACATTGTGGGCTCTGGGTGGCATGCAGAGACCCCTGCCTTTGTAGGCAGAGAAAGGTGGGGGATGTAACTCAGGACCGTTCCCCACATGCCTGGTACCTTGAAGTGCTAAAGGGCCCTATTATTCTGGGTGACTGGAATCTCAGTTACCAAGCCATGCTACAAATTGTTTGGTGAGGTCGCCTGGCCTCCTGTTTTCCTAATCACACCCTTGCCTTCCCTAGGTGGTTGTTAACTTGGGGTGTGGTGCATGCAGCTGCTTTTGTTGCCCACAGGTAGGGGTGGGGGGGGCRCGGTGTTTGCAGCAGATCTCTCCTGCTGTGAGATGGCTCCTGGGAGGCCTGGCTGGGTTGTCCTTTGTAGTGGCAGCTGGGCTCTGGAGTGGGCAGTCCTCAGCTGTACCTGGGAGGGAGGCAGTGGCTCCGACCTTGGATATGGCAAGAAAGCAGTTCTTGAACCTGTGGGATCCTTTTTGGACAAACCTCACTATTCTTTGGTGGCTGCTCTGCTGTCTCTGATTGACAGGAATTCTCTTAGCTGTCAGCAGGCCATTCGCCTTGTTGGCAAGAGGGGACCCTCCCTCTCCTACTGTTGATGCTGATGTTCACGGGCCCTGCACCCTTCTGTCCTCCTGGGCTGTGAGGCAGGCTGTGTGTGACGGACTCTGTCATCCCAGAGTGACCTGCATTGGCCTTCCGGATGCCGCGGCCAGTGGCCTTGCATTGGGGCTTTTCAGGGCCTTGTGGTGTGCACCGTGGGTGCCTTTCTGAATCTTACATCACTCTTTCTACTTCTCTTTTTTCTGTTTCTCTTTATTGGACTCCACTGTTGTCCCTCTGCCTCAACACCAGGTCATCCAGGATAATTTTTGTCATCTTCAGGAAGTGGAAGCTGCTGTCACTTCATTGAAAGCCCCTGTTGTTCAGCCTCCAGTGACAGAGACTCATCTTAAACTAGTTTAAGCAGAAACCTGCAGGTGCAGATCCAGAGAGGACTAGATCTAGGCTGGACCAAATCCTGAAACTCCAGCAAGAGGGCTGTGTCCTTGCTTAGGTCCTTCAGCCATTTCTCCTGGTTTGGTCTCTGGTCTAGATTCCGGCCACTAGGAGGCAGGGCCACTTACGTTGCTGACAGTCCCCCAGGACCCGTCCTCAGGAGGACCAGGACTGGCACCTTGGAGTCAGAATCATGTGGATAGGAGCAAAAGTAGCAGAGTCTGTTGCTGATATGGGCCTGGTGATGCGCTGGGCCTGAACTCCTGGTCTCCCAAAGTCCCATGGGATGGGTACTAGGGCTCTCCCCATGTCACAGGGGAGAGCATGGGGGTAGGTGGCTTAGGGATGGTGGCACAGCTGGGCCCGAGAAAACTGAGGTACCAGGTGCCTTGGGTTTTAATAAATATTTTAATTGTTAAGCTTTGACTCTATTGTCACTTTTTTCTGTGGTGTTGAAGTAACATATATGCTCACTGTAGAAAATACAGAAAACACAGGGCAGTGGAAGGGAAGACCAGCAAACCTCTTTCTTGCTGCCACCAGCCACTGCAGCGTGTTCCCTTCTGGCGTTTCCCCAGGACCCAGGTGTTCCAGTGGGCGCAGAGTCTGCCGAGTGTCCACCTGCAGTGTGGAGGCCCCGCCGAGGGTGCCGCCCAGCTCCTCTGCGAGCAGTCTGTGGAGGCCTCCTGCCTTCCTCCGGAATCTCGAGTGCCCGCCGCCTGGCTTCATCCTTCATTTGGTGGTCGGATCTGTGCCTTCACAGGCATCGTCTTAACGTCAGACCCAGCCAGCAGCCAGGGTTTCACCTATTATTTTAAAAATCGTTAAGAACTCTTTTCCTAGAGTTTGAGAATATGCTGTAGGCACTCTGCCAGAATTCAGGGACGTGGTGAAACGGACGTCCTCTTCTCCACCCTGCCTTTGCCCTCTCGCTGGCCGCGCTGTGGTCATTTTCTCGGAGTTGTTTTAGTTTGTTCTGTTTACACACAAGCACACCCTCTCGTCCTGGCTGCTGTTCTTCACACTGATGGCTGTGTCCCGCACACAGGGTTTTGCATTTTTCACATGCAGCTTTGTGGAGGTGATTCTCCTCCTGGGCGCAGGGAGGGCTTCCTTGTTCTTTCTACTGCTTCATGCTGCTCTTTCGGGCATGTGGTTTGTTAGTGGAACCTCTTGGGAACATGTAGTTCGCTACCAACCTTTTGCAATCACAGATGGACGGGTTGGCAGTGGGATCCCCGAGTCTGAAGTATTTTGCACGCTGAGTGGGTCTAGGGTGACAAGGTGGGCGGTGGAGTTAGGGTTTTCAAGAGGGAGCAGCTGGTACTGTTCCTCTGTTCCCCACGTCCCTCCCTTCTCCCTCTTGCCCTTTGGCTTCACAGTTCTCTTTCTGAACTTTCTGGTTATGGCAGGATTTCAGGAGCCTGCTCCTGGGGATTTCGAGGTTGCTGGTACCTTTGCTTTTCAGAAGTTTCCGATGAGGGAACGAGCCCTGCCTGACAGGTTATTTCCCAAGAGGAGGTGGGGTAGTGCACCGGGCTCCACTACCAGAGGGGACATGGTTTTCCGCCAGTGTTCCCTGTTCATCCCCTTACAATGTGGCCCTGGAGGCCAGAGGTGCTAGCCCACTGGGTGCCACCACCCACTGTGCTACACCTGGCTGTGAATGCAGGTGGGGCAGACCTGGCTCTGGCCAGCTCCTGGCTTCCTGAGTCCCCTGAACTTCTGCTTACTCACCTGAACAGCGGGAAGCCTGTGCCCTCCCTCCTCGGGCTGCAGGAGGAGTCAGCGGGCAGGAAAGGTTCAGGTGTGTGTGACCTGACGTGGACTGAAGGGAACCAAGCCCCACTTTTTGCCAAAGTTCCAGTTTATCCTGTTTTAGGAGCTCTGAGCTGGTGGGGCTGGTGGGACTCTGGGGAGCTCAACCCCCTGAAGAGTTCAGCCTACCTTTTCTCTTGATTATTTTTGTTGTTGTTGCTTTCTTATTTTTGTGTTCCATCTGTTTTCAAAGCTAGGGATCTTTTTTTTTTTTAAATATTTATTTTTAGTTGTTGGACACAATACCTTTATTTATTTATTTTTATGTGGTGCTGAGGATCGAACCCAGCCCTTGAGTGTGAGAGGCGAATACTTTACTGCTGAGCCACAAACCCAGCCCCAAAGCTAGGGACCTTCTTAAAAAAATTTTTTTTTAAAGGACTAGATGTTGTAAAATGTGGACTGATTGGAATGACTGCAGTTGGCTTGGTAGAGATGAGAGCCATGTGCTAGGATAATCTGGATGCCAGCAGGATTTTCCCAAAGGGCATTTGTTGTACCCTCAGAGTGCTGGACTGGGCTGGGCCCAGGAGCTGAGCTAAGTTTTCCTGTTTCTATACCTTCATTTACCAGCAACTGTTCATGAGCATGTACATGCCAGGCAAGCACCAGAGCTAGGTGTGGGGTACACAGTTTTTAATCTTGGAACGTTCTTTACTCTACGGAGCTTGGGGAGTCAACTCTAGTTCCTGTTGCCTGGTCCCAGGCTTCTTTGAATGGCTGTCAGAGGCCCTGCCTTCTTCCCAGCATGCACACAACATGCACTTCAGTCTTTCTCAGTCCCTACAGATCCTGGTAACCCTACCCAGGGCACTCCTAGGTGATGGTGATCCATGCTCTCGCACTAAGGGCTGGGAGAGTAGCAGCTTAAGGTCTGTGGGAGTGTTGCTGGGGGGGTTGGGGAGGGTGCTGTGGGATGACACTGTGCTGTTCCACACAGAGGGGCCCTGGCTATGCTTGTGGGAGGAAATGTGGGGGGCGAGGATGAGGGCTCTGTGCTCTGGGCAGACCCAGACCCAGGCTCTTAGTAGGTGGGCAAAGTCAGGCATATGTGGGGACAGATAGTAGCCTGAGACTATGTGGGAGAGGGGGGGAAAAGGGGGAGGACGTGAGATTTAGACTAGGAGGGGTGTGGGTGGACTGGGTCAAGGGACTGGCAGGGAGTCCATGGGGCCAGAGATGGCTGGTACTGGAGACATGTTTGGCCTGAGAAGGGTATGAGGTCAGGATCCTGTGGCTTCCCGTGGGTGAGAGTGTTTTGGGTTGGGTGTAGCAGGCTATTTCAGGCTGTGGCACACCTGGGCGCCAGCCCAAGGTGTTCAGCCTGAGGCTGGATGGCATGGGGAGCCATGGGGGGAGGTTGAGCTGAGCAGAGGCACTGGCGTCCATGGTGAATTTGGTGGTGGGAGAGTCTTGGGACAATGCAGGCTGGAGCCACTGAAGAAGGCCTGGCCCCTGGATCAGAGGGAGGACAGCCATTATGAGTCCTTAATGGGACTTCAGCCAGCTTCACCCTCTCCTCTAGCCCTTGGTGGCTGTGAGAATCCCTGCCCTGGAGAGCATGGCTGTCCGGGCGACATGGAGACTGGTGCCCACTCTCCCAGGGCGGCTCTCAGCTCTGGCCTGCCTTTAGCTGTAGTGGACGTTCTGCTTCCTGCCTGCTGTAGTAACGTGTGTTTTCTTTGTTTTTCTCCACAGGAAGCGGGGGATAGAGGTGGTGCAGGTGAGTACAGACTGCACTTTGACCGCCTTCCAGGTAGCGTGACCTAGTGCTCCCCTTTCCCAACTCCGTAGGAGTCTGAGTGCTTGGCCCTCTTGTCACACTCTGGTTGGTAACTTTCCCCTGAGGATTAAATGCCATTTCCTCACCAGGCTGGGCACAGGTGGTTGATGGCTGCTGCCATGCAGAGTTACTGTGCCTTTTTGGGGAAGAAGCTGGGGTTAGTTGGGGAGTTCTGGGGGTCATGGTATTGCTCGCATTGGGGGGTGGAAAAGCTGAGGATTCAGCAGTCGCCCAGACAGGTGTCCGTTGTTCTGTACCCTATTCTGCCTCATTCCGAGTGGACTTGGGCCAGGAGCTCATTGGCTGGAAAAGGAAGGAAGGAAGGAAGGAAGGAAGGAAGGAAGGATAGATGGAATGGATGGATGGAGAAGAACGGATGGATGAATGGAGAGAGAAGGAAGGGTGGGTGGAGGAGGGAGGGAGAAGGAAAGAAGGAGGATGGAGAAACTGTCCCAGGACAGGAAGTAGATGCACAGGCTCTGACAGCAGCTGTCTCAGGAGAGCCAGGAGGTCTGACCTATCAGAGAAGAGCCTGGAGTGAGGGGCTGCCTGGGTGCTCTCTGGCTGGTGATATTTGCTGCTGTGGTTATGACTCATGAGGGTGGGAAGGGGGGCATTTTTGTCTATGTAAACACAGATACCTTCAGACCTGCCGAGAATGGCAGGCAGGACATTGCAGCCACAGGCACACCTGGCACCTTGTGGCACTGAGACCCATGGTCACTGGCCCCTGCAGAGAGGGCCAGCCAGTCCAGAAACCAGATCAGGGCTGATGAGGAGCTGGGCCCCCTGTAGGAAGCTTCCAGAAAGCTTGCTGGGGAGCTCTCAGAGGCTGCGAGGTTGGCTTCAGGAGCCCACTGGGAATGACTGCCCCATTCCTGGCAGATTCAGCACTTCAGGCCCAAAGGGGCAGCACAGAGGCCCTGGAGCATCCTCTGCTCAGGGTTAGACTGGGCAGTGGTAGCTCCTGCAATGCTGTCCACAGCTCTGGCGAAGGGTGCTGCATGCCCCTCCTGACTTCCTGCTGGTGGTATGAGGGTTGATTGGTCATCAGAGGGCTGAGGTTTGCTTTGGGGTAGAGAGATAGTTTCTGGAAGCCTCTGGTCAGCCGTCTCCTGTTCATGAAGGCTCATCTTGGCTTTGTAGAGTTGTATGACTGACAACTGAACTGAATTGTGGACTTTGATTTCCCTGTCCATTTCAGGAATGGCCAAGAGGTGTGCCTCCGGGCCTTCTCTGCTGCCTGGGGGTTCTCAGTGTGCATGGGTGAGGATGGGGGTTGGTGGATAATGCCTGCCACAGACACAGGTGTGTGCAAAGGAGGTGGGTGTGGACCATTTCTTCTCCAGGATGCTGGAGAGGCTTTAGCCCTTTCTGAAGGCTAACTTGAAAACCCTTTGCAGATGTATACCCACCAAGGAACTCTTGGTGCTACTTGGTGCTCGATGTGCAAGGGACAGTTCTGGGCTTCCCTGTGGTTTGCTGCAGCACTGATAAGGGCCCAGGAGGGGGGTCGCTGCTGGGAGTGGTTCCTGGAGGAAGTGAGGGCCTGTGCTTACCAGCAGACTCCCTTCTTGACAGAGGAAGAGAGGCATTCCTCCTCCAGACCCTTCCATTCACATGATCCCATTCACATGCACAGGGTGTGAGAGACAACCAGGGGCCACAAGAGCTTTCCCTGGCCTCCTAGGAGGCTGTGCCGAACCTTTCCTGCTTAGTCATGGGTGGGACAGGAGACTGGAGTCACTGCTTCAGAATGTGCTAGGCGGGCAGAGGAGGGGCTCTGAAGTCTTTCAAGATGTGTCTGTTCTTCCTTTGATGATGACTCGGGGAAGGAAGTGGTGGCTGGGGACCAGAATGAGGCCAAACTGGTCGCTTTCCACTCTGGCATCTAAAAATAAAACCCACAGTAAAGCCTCTCCCTTACCTCCTCTTGGCACCCCTGGGTGTTTTAAATTTTAAGACATTGGGAAAGGCTTTGCAAAATTTGCAAGCCACATCACCTGGCTGGTTTTACAAAATTAGGCTTCTGTGTACCCAGTCCCTGGCTCTGGGCCCTGGTTAAGGTGGTAGTGAGGGTGAGGGTGACCTTGCACCAGCCACCTCCACATCGGCTGTGTCAGGTCCACTTTCCCAGTCTGGAGAGGCACCCAGTGATGGTGCGTCCTCTGTAGAGATGAGGAAACTGAGGTTCAGGACAAAGTGACCTCTTGGGGTGTTCAGCTGGTTGGTGGCAGCGTTGGGCTTGGTGGCAGCGTTGGGCTTGGTGTGGGCCTGTTGTCTGCTGGGCAGGCGGTCTCCCGAGCATGGTAGTGGGCTGCTCCACTTACTAACTGCTTGCCTGCCTGGCGTTCCTGCCTTTGGCTACATATAAAAGGATGCTGGGGCTGGGTCAGGACCCAAGGCTGAAAACCCTGGAAAGGTCCTGCAGTGTTTGTCCAGGGCATGGAATCATTCCTCTTCCTGCTGTTCATCAGTGTTCAGTACTTATGGGAACTTCAGTGTACCAGGCATCGAAGCCATTTACTCTGAAGGAACTTTGTGTGTAATCCTTCCCAGGTGGAGGTACTATTTACGCATGTTCACCTCCTCAGGTGCTGGTCCCATAGCTGTGTGCTGGGAAAAGAGCTTATAAACTCCTTTCCTGTCACCCCTGCTACCCCTTCCACATTGTTCCTCCTCCTCTTTCTAGGGACAGTGTTATAGTGGTGTGGAATAAGACCACCCAGGTTTAGGTCTCTGGCTGTGTGACTTGGGACCAATTGCTTAAGGACTCTGTGTGTCAGTCTGCTCAGCTATAAAGGGGGATAATTCTACTGTCTGTGCCCAGGATTGGTGTGAGGACTCAGTTATTTTGGGTAACAGAGTTGGCACTGGACCTGGCTCTAAGGAACTGGTGATCTGCAGAGCCACGTGTTCTTGCTTCCTTAGGCAGGTCTGAACCCAGGGGTAGACTGCAGGACAGGAAGCCCGCCAGTCATCGTTATAACCCTGGGCCAGGGAGGTAGTCCCCGTTCCTTGTTTGCAACAGAATTGGAAGAGGAACTGCGCAAGTTGTCAGCCGATAGCGCGTCAAGAGTGATTTTGGAGGTCTGGGGTGCACGTGGTAGTGTAGTGCTTGCCTAGCACACAGGGCCCCTGGGGCCAGCCAGTCCCCAGCATGGAAAACAAAGATTTGTGATGAGAGATTACTGTAATTCTTGGCATATGATTCTACAGGAATCCAAAGAATTTGCTATGACAGATCTCTTTCCATTTTTTTTTTTTGAGTAAGTGGTTTTAACACATATCCATGAAAACTGAAAAATGAAGATAGAATTGATATTCCAGCAGTAGATGATACTCATCTATGGATACAGGAAATGACTTTAAAGGTCCCATTCACCGCCTCAAAGTTGTGTTTCCAGTAAAGTTGTACTTTCTGTGATTCTCATTTGTATAATTTTAAATGTTTCTGTCATGTTTTTCAGTTGTGTCCTAATATTAATTGTAATGAGAAGAAACATTTTGACACTGAAGAGCTTTATGGTCACATGAGAAATGAAGAAAAGAAACATTATCTATACATGTGTATGTTTTGGCTCAGTTGTGGAATAATCAGAACAAGGCTTCCCAGCGTGTGCTGTGATTGCATAAACATCCCAGTGGAAAGTGGGCTGGGAATTAGAGTCCAGGAAGAAAAAGGAACATGGTGGGATTTCCAGGTGTCAAGGAGAGCTTGGTTATATAATTTTGAGATGGATGATGGTGGATCTCAGATCACTAAGGTATTTAGATTCCATTGGATCCATTTAAAAGAGAAATAGTAACAGTTTTAGTTTAAAATGTTAATATTTACAGTATGTTGGAAATTACATCCTCTGCAAGTATTTAAACTTATGATGAGAAATATTAGATGTCAACTGTAAATCGTACAAATAGAGACATTGTTTTAGATGCTCATTTGGGGTTTGGTTTGAAGGCAATTTGTTTCTCAGGACTAGGTAACTCCTCTGAGAGGGACAGCAGTGGGCCTGGCTCTCAGGCCATCTAGAGACCCCTCTGGGCCTTGCCCAGCCCCATGCACCACTGAGACCCACAGGGGCCCTCTGGTTTCCCAGGCCGTGGACTCATCTGGAGGCCGCTGGCTTCCCTCAGCCAGGCCTGCTGGGCTGAGTGATGAGGATGATGAAGGGCACATGCCCCGTCCCTGCTCCTCGGAGAAGAGCTGCAGTGAGCTGGATCCAGGAGGCTGGGGAAGCAGCCCTGCTCTGTGTCTAGCATGAGGCAAGGGCTGTGGGACATGAGACATTGTGTCCTCATCCTGTGTCCTGAAGAGCCATCTGTCACGACAGCAAGGGCTGCAAGTTTGCCTCAGTTTCCTGCTTCGTAGTGCTGTCCTGAGGAAGCTGGACCCATGGGCCCTGACTGCACTGTTCCAAGTGCAGTCTCACCAGCTGTTGAGGTGAGAGCCCCTCATGGCCAGGAGCCAGCGGGTGGGGCAGGCTCTTCTCAAAGCAGTGGTGCAGCAGCCTCTCTGGGCCAGGCTGTAGGTGCTGGCCCCGCCAGTCCCCTTGGCTCTCTGTGAAGCCTGCGGTAGGCTGTCAGTGGCTAGGTGTGCGTGAGCACATGGGCTTAGGCACAGAAGAGGGCCTGCACCCAGTCTGGTCATTCAGGAAGGCTCCCTGCAGGAAGAACCTGGGAGTGGTGATGAGCCTTGTCCCCCTGACAGAGCTGCCTGGGAGGACAGTCGAAGCCTGCAGGCCCAACCAGGTCTTGACTCACTCCCCGGGCCTTTGACCTTTAAAACAACTGGATGCTACAGTGATCGGGAGCCAGGCAGGGTATGGCTGTCACTGCCATTTCACCCAGTGAGTCTTTGTTGGAGAAAACATTCCTGGGCAGGTAGGGTCATCTGGTCTGGTCGCAGGATATGGTGGCCTGGGGCCTGCCTCAGCTTT